TCCGCAATTTTGGAAAAGGAGGTCGTTGTTGCGGGTTTGCTAGGGCTTCTGAAGATTTTGGCTCAAGAGAATTCGAAAAGCATTTGCGGCTACAATAGACATATTTACCCACCTCCCCGAAGGGGGACGCCTGAAGGGGGATCGTGAAAATTTTTATAAAAAAGCCAATGCGACGGTTGACCTGCCAGGTCGAGAGCAGGTCGCATTAGGAGAGATGTGAGGAAGTGGGAAGACATACAAAAACCCTTAGAAGACCGTTAATCCTTTACCATCGGAATATCCATGTTTTCGAAACTTGGGTTATCTTTTTTTCGCATTTTTGCTTTTTTACTTTTCTTTTTTTCCCTATGTTGTGTAATGGTAGTGTAATCCCAAAGACTTGCTCTCTTGCTTGAGCACTTTTTTCCCTTGCACAGCAGCACAATCACGCTATCGTTATCACCCGATCGCAGTACATCTATCGCAGCTGCCTTCATGTACAGTAGCCAGAAATGTTATCAGAGATAGTCAGCTCAGCGATGGAGAGCGGTGGCGCACGCTTTCCCACGCCCGTAGCTGTCGCGGGGTCTGTCCCGTGCGGATTAGGCAAACGATTTGCGTAGCATTTTGAGGCTTAATGCGACACGTTCGTCCCTTGATGTCGTTGGAAATGTGGCAATAATTGAATCTCGGCATAGTGCTGACCCAAAGCCCTATTTCATGGTCTAGACTACCGACGTAAAGTGGGGATATTCGACCGTTGACTGGATAAATTGCAAAGTTCAAGGAAACTGAAGAGCTCTTTCATTTTTTATCTGAAAGTAGGGGACATTTTTAATCCCACTCTGCTTACGCCGGGATACTTCCAGTTCTCTTCTGGAGCAGGCTCACAGAGCTCGCTGCATTGAGCTCAACAGTTATAGCTTATGGTTTAGGTGTATGGTCTTAAGTTATGCTTACACATTGGCTTATGGCTAAGCCTGTGACTGCGTCTATGCTGTCCTAAGTTGCTTCGAGCGAAGCAATGAAGTCTAAATCCCAAGTAAGCTGAACTAAGGAGGGTAAGGAGGGAAACATCCCCTCATCCCCTTGAGACCCCTCCAAAACCTAATCGCAATTGCTCGCCTTCACAACTTAAAACGGCTGATTTTGATGTAAATCAACAAGACCTGCTGTGGATCAACGAATTAAATGTGCTCTTACGTCCAAGCTGCCTCTTGAAACTTTATTTGCTTTTTCGTGGTGATAGCTTACTGAACAGTGCAATGTTCGTTGCAGAACCTCTTAAGCGGGAGAATTTCGTGCTTCTTCGGTGGTCTTAACTGAACTGCCATTTCCTCCGACACCGGGACCGATTACTACGATTACTATACGATACCTGCTAAAAGATTCGTCAAAATAAGAATATTAGGAAAAAACTTGCATCGTGTATTAGGTCTTGGATACATACCAATGGGGAAATGACGTTGACTCTGTGAAAAATTATAGATCGCCCAATGGTTACCTTGGATTTTTAGTCCTTTCGATTTTCTTCGGAATATCACATGTCGCGACGTACCAGACCCTGGTAGCTTCCTCGAAGCACGATCTTTCCGTGTTTTAGTGCCACTAGTGGGCAGCAGGAGTTGCCTTGTCATGGAGACTGCCTCGAATGAAGCGACTTACCATGCTTGCAATCGATGCTCCATTCTCTATCTAAGGAAGTCAGCATGCATTTTCACTAACAATACTGATAAGGAGACGTCAAAGGTGGGTGCAGGTAACCAAGCGACACAGTTAGACGTTCAAAGTAGCTTGAGAAATTCTAGCTCAGTTCTTAATTTGAACTTGGAGTAATTGGTAGCAGACCCCTTTGCTGGAACCAGAACACCGTTGAAAACAGAGGATAACTCATTTTATTAGTCACACTGTAGACCTTAGAAGCATAGAATAATGCTTGAGGTTGATCGAAATTTTTGTATGCGCCACGCACTGGACCTTATTTGAGGTTGGGTGCCATGTGTTGACTCCGTTGGCCAGGTAAATGGGCGCATTTCTCGTTCGGAGCTAGCATAGCGCTGAATGCTGACCCAAAGCTCTGCACCTCTAAGGATAAGGTCAGAGCTATACGCGAGAGAGCTAGGAAGCCAGCCACGGACATGGTTTACTGGTTTCAGTTGCTTGGGACTCTTGGATGCGTATTTGGCCCGATAACTCGCTTGAGTTCAGGAGGCAATGAGGCAGTGCAGCTCCTACACCCCCTCTCATCCTTTACCACTCCCCCTACCTCCTCACCTCGGAAGATTAGTCTCACAAATTCACATATTCTCAAGGGGGGAAATGGTTGGTTTAAGTGGACCCGTACAGGGTTTGGCCCCTAAACGCCGCATAAGGGCAGCAGCACCACATTCCCAGTCAAGAATTGCATTGAAATGCCAGTTTCTAATTTAAATGCCCCTTTCCAGATGGAAATGAACGTGCGACGCATCCCAAAAGGATCGAGTGCTTTTTTCCCCTCGTTTTTCGTTTCACCTTGTTATCGTCCCATTCAAGATGCACTTTTCAGTCCCAAACAGCCACCCTTTTGGTCCCGGGGTGAACGGTTACCAAAAATGAGCGTAGCTGTTGAGTTTCGTGGGAATGACGCAGCTGCAGGGGAATGTAAGTGAAGGGTGTGATATTAATTGATCGCGTTCATAAACAACTCCCTGAGTGCAACCTCCGATGGCCATTCGGCCGTCGAGTTTATGTGATTGGGATGGGGTGTGCGCTCGTGGGACGAGACGACCACACGACCGCAATAATGATGAGAGCTGTAATAAATTATCGTTGTGAGTCGCAGTGTAAACGATATCATTCGACAACAGAATGATTACTCCAGCCGTTTGGTTTTATAGGTTACAAGGCTTCTCTCAACCCTATGGGTGAGAGTGTAGGTGGGAAAACATGAGTTTTGGGTAGTTTAGGACTAACAATAAACCTTGGAAATAAAGGAGGTGGAGAACTTGTAATAGTGCGCATGTGTGAGAGAGATCAGACAGCACTACAAGACTCTGAATTGTCCAGCCTCACGGTTGACAAAAATCCTGAGACCGGCTTTATATGGATCCCCTGGCAGTTGGCATTTTGCCAAACTCAGCTTATCATTACGAGCCCCATCAATGCTCGTTAATAACTATTCTTCTTAGTAAAAACAAGAGCTTCCCCAGTGGAATTCCCCCCTCCCGCCTCA